AGATGGGAACGGGGGGGCAGGACGGATGCAGCCCTTCCGCACTCTTAGAAGAGCAAAATCAGAAGGACGAAGGTAAATAGTTTTTTCGGGTTAGTTACATCGGACAGTGAGTGCATATTCGCGATTCGGATTTGTGCAGGGTCTATGTACAGTTTCACTAGTATTACGACAAATAGCCTGACAATGCTTTATGTCTATGTAATGAAAAGGCAGTATCTTCTCACATGCATGTACAGGTAAACACACACACACAGGAGGGCCCGTCATGTCATACCTAAACGGTCCATGCCACGTACCCCTCTAGCCTCCCATAGTACTGTAGCGTCCTGCCAGGCCAAAAGCAAGGCCAAAAGCAGAAGCAAAGGCTTCAGTCTTTGAGGCTTTAGTTCCCCACTCCGGCAACTTCTGAAGCTGCGAGTGGCGCTAGTCTCGGTTCGGAAGAGGCCGGCGAGGCCTCAGTGACAAGGCGCAGCAACACTCGGAATGCTTGGAATCCGCAAATCGCCAAACGAAGCCAATCGAAGCCATTTGTTGCCACCGTCAACACCTCCCCTCCCGAGCCGACTTGCAGAATGGTGCGAGTCAACACACGTGACACAAGTGACAGTGCTTGCGGGGGGCTTGTGATCGCAATTCTTCTCCTCCGCTGTGCTATCGCAATCCTGAGTGGCCATTGGCGTTTCTCGCCGAACAAACAGGGACTCGGACGTCCCTGCCTTCGCCAGAAACATTGGGAGCCATTTGGGAGCTTGCTGCATTCTAGCCCAGTAGGTCCAGGGCAACTGAGTGCAGTTGGAGATTTTTGGAGTTAGGTCTTGGCTGGTGTCTTACAGATGCAGCCTTCGATGCCCTGTTGGAAGAGGCTTGCGCATGCTTCCAAGCACTTCGAATTTGGGATAGGGTGTTGAATGTCAGCTGTGCTTCAGGCTGCAGGCACATCTGCAGAGGACACCGACCTGGCATTGTTGGAAGTTTGTTCATCACAGCAGTTGTGCGCTGAGTGCATCGATTCGCAAAGCCAATCGGGAGGATCCCCCCGTGCGCAGGAAGTGGGTCGGAATCTCTGTGTCCTTAGGTTTGTTCTCGCCGTGTTCGCACCTCAATTGAGTTGCGGCGTCCGAGTCTGGTCACAGATTGGTCGTGTTTGTCCAGGCGCTGCCAAGCCTGCTGAAAGTGGCTGACCTTGGTGAGGCACCTGAGCTCTTCATTAGCCGACTTCGGGTGAAAATGCAGCCGACCCCAGTTTTGAACCTTGGAGTATGGAATTTTGCGGCCCCAGAACTTGGAATTGTGGAACGTGGTATGCGGCCGCCTGGAGTGACTGTTGGGTCTCAAGACGTCTGGAATTCTGGAAGGAGGGGCTGGGCTCCCAAATCTTGGAGTTCAGAGGTGCAGAAAGCAGAGGGCGGGGGGGGGGGGGGGGGAGGGGAATTGGGCTGGACCCCAAATTCAAGAAATCGAGAGGCTGGATTTCTTAAATTTAAGAAATCGAGGGGCTGGATTTCTTCAATTTAAGCAATCGAGCGGCTGGATGTCTTAAACTTAAGAAATCGAGGGGCTGGATTTCTTAAATTTAAGAGATCGAGGGGCTGGGTTTCTTAAATGTAAGACATCGAGGGGCTGGATTTCTTAAATTTAAGACATCGAGGGGCTGGATTTCTTAAATTTAAGAAATCGAGGGCTGAGTTTCTTATTTGAGGGGGGGGAGACTTTTCATTCGGCGGTTGCCGAAGACAACCAAATTTAAGAAATTCAGGGCCCAGGATGAGGGTACCCTCGATTTCTTAATTTAGTCTTGCTCTCAATTTTCGCATTTTAATCCGGGATCCAGCCGCGAGCATGCTCGTTTCTTAATCCAAAGATTTCTTAATCAGTGCTGTCACTGTACCCATAAACTAATATTGCTTGGTACCCTTATTTCAACATGCCACGATGACCACAAACACGCATACATATGTGTCTCGGGCTGCCACCACCCCCCCTCCCCCCCACAACCTCCCATGGTATCCCCCCCCCCATCCTTTTTTTGGATCCCTACCCCCACGCCCCCCTGTGGTGTGGGTGTGGTTGGGGGGTTTAGGGCGGTTAGGGTTTAACATCCAAGGTTTAGGGTTTAGGGTTCGGGATTTAGGGTCAAAGGCGTGGTGTGATGTGGGGGTTGGGCTTAGGATTTGGGGTTGAAGGTTGAAGAGACCGGCCGCCCGTGCTACCCCTGCGCCCCTCCTCCTGTGGTGTGGGTGTGGTTGGGAGTTAGGTTTAGGGGCTTAAGGTTTAAGGTCTAGGGTTTTACAGAAGTTTAGGGTTTAAGGTTTAGCCCCCCCCTGCCTGTGCTGTGAATGGGGGTTGGCGTTTGGGGTTGAGAAGGTGTACGATTTAAGGGTTCAGGGTGTACACTATAAGTTTATAAAAATACTGGTGTCTTTTGGAAATTTCCTTTGCGCTATTTCGTTGCACTTTCGACGTGCCTCGAGTTCTTGTGCTTTTGCGAGATTCCGCAGGATCTCTGCGGACCACACCCAGAGGCCCATTGGGAGGGAGGAAAGAATTGATATGCGGAGGAAAAGTTGCTCGCCTTCTTCTTCTCTTGAGAATGAATGATCTGCCCCCCCCCCCCCCTCTTTTTTGTTGCCGCATTGTGTTATTGAAAGTCTGAGTTGTTTTTTTCGGAGGCTTTGAGGGCTGCCTTCAAGACGCTCGGGGCGCAGAGCACCTGCTCCAAGGACATTTCGTTGTCTCTCTCTCAGATCGCGTGATGCCGGGTTGAAGTGCTTCGGGCTCTCGTGAAATACTGCGTTGGACTGCGCAGGAGCGATTCAAGCAACTGGCGACAGGACCCTGGCCTCAGACCTGTAACGGTGTATCCAAGAAAGGGTGTGCCTATGTCCAACATGTACTGCGCAGCATTGTACGTTTACAGCAGAATTCGGCAGACATAAGGCGTTGCCTGCATCCAGATCCTAACGAACTCAGGGAGGTCTGAAACAAGATGCTCTTCATGCATGGGACGGCTTGCTTCTGTGGGGTGCCTGCAAAAGACATGCATTGTGTCAACTTGCTCTGTTCAACACACCTCCGATCTTGCACGGGGCTGTGTTGTAGTTGTCTGTTGCCCTTGAGCTTTTTTCAGTCTGCCACTATTGCAGGACGACCCAATCTGACAGTTGGTTGTGAAATTACTCTAGGAATGGTTGGTTTCGATATGCGTAGTGGCCGTAGGCATGCTCTGGCTAAACTCAGCAATGCGACCATGTCACGGTCCTCCCAGTCGTGGGGAGGGTCTTCGCGCAACGCGAGGCCATGATGGTGGGCTGACGGAAGCGGACGTGGATGATTTGTTTATGTCACTTGAACAAACTGGGTAAGGCATCTGGAATGCAGACCCGTTCTGCGGCTGCTGCTGCTGCTGCTCTGCTGCTGCTGCTGCTGCTGCTGCTGCTGCTGCTGCTGCTGCTGCTGCTGCTGCTGCTGTTGCACAACTCCGTGTCACAAGGCTGTGTGGAGCATCTCCACAACGTGTTGCCACCGACACGCTGGTTGATGGCTTGGTGGATTGTATTTGCCAGCCGAAGGCAACTTGACAGACTGCAGCAACATGTGACTGTAGCTGGTGCTTGCATATGCAGATGCTCATCCTACACAGTGTCGAGACATGGTGGTCAACTGAGGCACACGTGCATAAGGCCATATTGGGCCAGAGCCGCTTGTTTCTCCCGGGATAAGGTCAGGACATGATGCAACATGTTTCGTGTGCGTTTCGTGTTGTTCTTGCAACTGTCAGTACATGTCGAAACTAGCGACTAGTGGCTTCTTCACGTGCCCCATGATCCAAAGTGATCCACGTCTCGCTTGCCGCACAAAAAGCCTGCAAACGACACGCTCAGCAATTTGAACGGAGAAGGTCAGCCTCGGTACGGACTTGCTGTGTCAACCTCTGCCGTAGCGGCTCCGAAGCCGGGCGCAGCGCTTGTGCCATGCGCTTCGCGAGCTTCGCGGTGCTGCCAGGCCAGCATTCAGTCGCAGTGCAGCGCAGATGGCACAGTGTGTTTTTGCTCGGGCGCTGTCCTCTACCCTGCTCTCAGTTGCAGCCACTGGCCTGCTCCTGCAAAACGGGCCCTTGAATGCCTTGGACTTGGCGACCTGATGCTAGCAAGCAGCTAGCAAGCACCGTGTCGCGTCTTCTGCCAATGCAAGGCCCCGGCAGTAGCTGGCCATGGAAGTGACTTGGTTAGATTGACAAGGAGCCTGAACAAGTACCGTTCCACAGTTTCTGTTCCTAGGCCGCGTCTTGACAATGGAGCAGTGCTTGTCTCAGACCCGTGGCATTCGTAGGGGAGTGCTCAGCCACACCAGGGCACCAAAGTATGAGAAAGCTTCGTGAGAGAGGGAGAGAGAGTTCACTCACCGGTTTTGAGGTGGCGCTCGCAGCGCCAGGCGGGGGCTTACAGAGACAGTATGCGTAGGAAGTTGTTCAAGATAGAAACTGTACAGTCGGGGATTTAGGGATATGAGGATGGACCCTGGAAAGGATCCTGAATCTTCTTCCCCTATAGAACATCCCCCCATATACCTTATGTAGTTAATCCGTATGTACCTTTGTAGCCTCTGCATGTCCCTTCAGGTCCCTCAGAAGAGTCCCTCATGTAGCCCCTTGAGTGGAAGGCCTCGGCATCTTCCCTGAGCCAGGTGGCAAGGTGGAGGCCTTGACTTCTTTGCCGTCTTCCATTGTGTTCCCTTTCCTAGCCGTCGTGAGTCATGCCTCTACAAATGCCTGAGGTCGTCACTTACGGAATATCGCCGGAACTTGAAGATGAGCTTACACCGACACCGCGCGACACTGACAACATATGCTGTCTGTGCGTTTTGTATCTTTGTGTGTTACAAGGCATGCATGTGGACAAGACCAAGCTGAGTGGTCCTGCCCTCCTGCGCTAATTTGGGGTCGTTTCGAGGTGGAGTGGTAGAGGCTCAGTTTGTGTAACATTTGACATGCTTCATGCCAGATGTTCGACCTCGGAAACTCGCTGCAACTGCACTTGGGACTGCAGTTGGACTATCGAAGCATATATGTTTGGTCGCATGTCTCTAGCAATTTGAATTATGGGAAGCTCTGAGGATCTGTGGCATTTGCATCAACCTGTCGCTGGTGGCCTGCATGATGTGCGCCCGCAAGTTTGGTTTGTCAATTTTTGCAATTTGCTCTCGTGTCTACTCATGTTTACTGTGTGGTCTTGGACATCTACAGAGATTCAGTTTTTGCTGCAGCATCGAGAGCTCAAACAGCACGTGCAGTCCTTCGGAAGTAGGCTGAGTGTTGCTTTGCACGTGCCAATGCTTGTAGCTCTGAAGTCTTACAAAGTTCATTAAAGTCCGTCACGACGAAAATCAAGTCTAGTATCTCGTAGATCCACTCCTTCGTGTACTGCTTCAGCCACACGGTGATGCGTGGTCATGGAGCTGATGCAGATGGGTGCCAAGGCACAGCGGGTTGGAGCCAGTTTACAGGTCCGCTTGTCGTGGTGGGCAGACTAAGCAAAGCAACACATCACCCATCCCCATGCATGCCAATCCAGCACCATGAACAGCAAGATCTTCTCCGGAAATGTCAGGCATCGCTGAAGCGAGGTACACTCCATTACACTCCCAACGCGCTGCTGTCCGCCGCACATTTTTTCATGTCACCGCTGGGAGCATCAAGCTGATCAGGCTTGGCTCCCGGGCCGCTGCTGTGGCTCTGCATTGGGATTTCCCTGTCCGACCCTTCAGTCTTGCGAAAGCTTGCGTCCGCAAACGGCCCAGATGTTCCACCTTAAAGGTGGGGAGCGGAGGCTGCTGGAGGCATCACTCAGGATGAGCAACTGCTCATTTCCGATGGCTTGTCGCTGGGTTGCGATATGTTGCGATGGCAGAGAAGTGTTGCTAGTGTCTCAGGCCTGCAGGCCGGGTTTTCTTCCATCGTCTCGTGTGAAATGAGGTGGCATCGAGACCAGCGAAAATCCATGACGTTGGTGCTGCCTGCTTGTGCCTTTCATGATTTCCTTTGCGCCTGCAGTTTGCCAGGAAGCATCGTGCTACTACACCACCATGGAGGGTATGCCCAGGGCTTATATCCATTCATAGCCCTACCAGGTCCTACTGCCCTGCCATATATTATATATTCTCATAACGGCTCAGGCTTGATTTCGTTGCAAGAGATTCCTGCAAGGCCCTTCGGCTGCCAGTACAACAGAGCCTCTTATCCCTCGTACCAGAATGATTTCCAGCGGCGAGCAGAGTGCGAACCCCATTTGTCTGCAGTCCATGTTGTGCACTGCGCAAGTGCAACTGGCTTCATGCTAAGGAAGACTGCGTTGCTGGAGCTGTACAACTCCTGCGGAGGCAAGAGACAGCAATCGACAGCAATCAGCAATCCTTCAAGCTTTTGCAGCCCGTCCTGATGCCTCTAACAGGTGATTTTTGGCGGTCGCGGGACAACTGGAACGGAGAAAGCCTGGCTCATTGTTTCATGGGCTGTCACCCCAAACTCATTCTTTCATTCCGCTTCTCGTTCCAAGCGCTTAGCTTTGGAGTTGCCAGCACAAGTCTGGCTCCCCTGGGCCAGGAATTGGACCCTTGCTGGGACTACTGGTACGGGGTCACCTGCAACGAGCACGGGTATGCTCGGGCCCAAGCTGCAGACACTTTTCAGTCACGCAAAGAAGTCGTTTTTTCTGATGAGATGTGCGTCTCAGCTGCTTCGATGCCTGTTATGGAATGCCTATGGAAGCAATCTGAGCAATCTGTGCCACCCCCCTCGCAGCACCAGACCACAGGTCATCAAGCTCGAGCTGTCGGACAACAGGGTCAGAGGGCCTCTACCGTCTGCCTTAGGCTCGGCCTTTTTGCGTAGCCATTCTGGCCATTCTCTCACGCCACCAGATCACGGAGTACTTGCCATCTTCTGTGACTGTAAGTTTTTGGCTTCGGAAGGCGCATTGACGTCCCTGATTACATTGGACCTCTCTTCAACCGAGCCAGAGTACCATATGCGCCTTGGCCAAAAGTCACATCACTAGTTGCTTCAGGTGGGAGACTGTCAAGCGTGACAAAAGCAAGGCATCCGAACGAGGAAATGAATCGAGTGGAAGGGCAGCGACCTTAGTGTTTTTGGTCTGTACACTGATGAGCGTATAGTTTCTGATTGGCAAAGTCTGGCTTGGCCAGCGCAATCGACAGATTTTGATGTCAGGTCAATGCCCTCCCTCGCCATGTGTTTCCAATTGGAAGAGATTGAGGCTGGACTCAGGATTGTCCACAGAAATTCAGTGGCCACAGCTTGCTTGCAGGTTTCTGGCAATCTCATACTCAAGTTGCCAGATGCCAGATGCCCAGCTTGCGATGGCCGCATGCAGTCATTTTTGCTTGTGCTCTTCAAGTGCTCTCAGAGTCCCCATGTGTTGTCAGGACTTGTATCTGAATGCAGACACGCTTCGGTCTTTGAGTGCCAGCCGCAACCAGTTGAGGCGAAGCGGGGGCATGGTGCTGTTTGTGCTGTCAGTACACACATTTAGAAGCATTCAGCTTCTGAAAGGTTGCTGCAAGACCGCAAGGGGGGGTCCTTTCTTCTTTCTTCCGGGGTAGCAAAAGCTTTGACTCTGCAATTCGAGCGGGCCGAGAGTGGAGAGTGAGGGCACCCTGGGGTCACCGATTCAAGAGATGAAGCTTGGATGGCTTTCGGTGGTAGGGCTTGAGGTTCTGGAGGGTTCTGCCTAAGATTCCGGACGAGCTCCTTATCAGTTTTTTTTGCTCATTCCTGTAATGTGTCTTCGCTGCGACAAAAACTTGCCAGGCGATGGTGAAGTATTCGTTAGTGATGTTCAGCGTGAGCATCCTGAGTGGACTTGTGCTCAGGAACATGCCGAACTATTTGCGACGATTCCAAGTGCTGGAGCCTTTGAGACGGCGTGTCCCTCCGCGGTTTCGATGCAGCCACATCTGAGGCTGCACACCCTGGAGCTGGATAACAATATGATCGAGGAGACGGTAGATGGAGAGAAACCTCCTGCACTCTTGTGCGCGTTGTCGCAGGATGAGTTTCCGGCAGATTTTGGCCAGCTCTCAAACATCCGGTGGTGCTCCCAAGCGCAGTCGCTTGACAGCTGAACAATGCTCCGATGTGCCAAGGTGGGTCCACCTGCAGTACAACCGCTTGAAGGGAACGCTGACACAGGTGCGGCAACGCATTCTGAGGGCCTCATGCGTCACGTATAGTTCTGGGTGAGGATATAGTTCCGATGACCAAGATTCAGGCTCGAAGTCTGTGCAAGATGCCTGCGCAACTGCCGACAAATTCAGCATGCACTCTTGGCTTAGATGGCGAGGTGTTCGATGTCTCTCACAATCCGGAGCTCGCCGGTGTGATTCCAGAGCAGGTCATTGTTGATTGGTCTGCTCTTTTGTCGCAAGTGCTCACAAGTTTTGCTCATCTTGCATGTGGGCATGCCCACGGCGTTGGCCGGCTCATGACCATGCAAAATTAAGGAAATGAGCTATTTGTCCATCCTTAACACGTCCATCTCGGGCTACATCTCCAGTCTCTGTCGCGTTCTCGTTCGTGCCGAGTTCCATGCAGTTTTTGCCTGTGGTGAGCTTGTCCTGCTTGCCATGCTGAGGCCTAGATGTGCCATTCTGCTGGAAATACATGTACGACACACACAAGGACTTTCTCCTGCTCCCTCAAAAGAATGTTAGGGCAACTCGAAAAGTAACTCAAATTAAGCCTGGTGCAACGTACCCCTGGCAAGGACCTTACATGGGCCACTGTTGCCGACATTCCCGATATAGTCGGCATGTGGCTCGGGCTTCAAATTCTTGTAGCATTTCAGTGTCGCTTGCCTGGCTTGTGTCAGCTGACATGCTGGGGGGTTCATTCAGAATCTTATGGAGGGAGTGGCAAAATTGTTCAGCTGGTAGTTCACTAGAGTAGGTCATGTGCAGTACCAAGCCAAGGACGGTCGACCTGGCGCAAACCAACTTCTTTGACGAGACGTTTGCGCGTTGAACGGGTCGTGTTAATGCTTCCATGGCCTGGCAGCAGTCCAGAGCCAATGGGCCAAGCTGCTTTGCGTTGTACATACTGGTGTAGAGTGACACGATCGCTATCGATCGCTCACGCGGTGTTATGGCATCTTGACTGCTGAACCGGTAGACGAGAGCCTGACAGCAAAACAGCTACAACTTGGCTACAATTGACATCAAAACATCTGCGGAAGTCTTTGCTTGCTTGCTAGAACTGCTTGGAGATGCTTAGAGTCTCTGCGCCGCATTGATCCAGAGCAGGGGGGCGTCGCATCGTTGCGTCGCATTGTCTCAGGAAGCTGGGCGTGTTCATTTGAGACGAGCGGCATGGTAGCCCACAGGCAGCACAATCAGGCTGCAAAGAATGCCTTAGGTGACCGGTCATGCTGCCAAGTGCTGCAGGGCCGCGAGCTGTGCTGAGCGGTGAAAATGGAGGTATACTTCTGTGTGTAGAGTTGGTCAGCTATCAAAAATAAGGTTCCTTTTGAAGGTACCCTGCATATTAGTCTTATAGAATAGTAGCCCTAAAAGGAACCATATTTAGAGAAGTGACCATTCGTCTTACTGTGAAGGCAAACAAGACATTCTGTTCCACTGGCTCCCAGACAAGAATGTGCAAAAAAGCCACTCCCAGCCGCAAGGTCATCGTGAATCAGTGAATATTGAAGTGTCGGGTAGGCACGTGTTGCATTAACAACGAGCGTGGATGGCTGACAGCTCAGATGAGGATCCAGAACCCGCATGCCCACCGCCAGAATGGGCTTCCGACATCATTCAAGCCGCCCGGGCTCGGGTCGGGCAAGACGTCTACCCACCCAGTGATGACACCTTCCTGCTGCTGGAAGTGTTGCAGGAGGATGCGCCAAAGTTGCAGGCCTTAAGGCCAAAGGTTTGTCTGGAACTGGGCTGTGGCTCTGGTGCTGCAAGTGTCGGCTTGTGGGACGTCCTATGCCGCGAAGGCGGTGGAGGTCGCGCAGGCCGCGAAAGGTGTCCTTGCCTCATGCTTGCCATCGACAAGAACCCTGCAGCGCTGACATGTACAAAAGAGCTTTTCCACAGGTTCGAGGTTCCTTTGGCGGAAGTCATGCGAGCTTCAATGACAACGCGATTCTGCCGCATGGAAGCTGACATTGTGATTTGCAATCCTCCGTATGTCCCTACAGACGACGATGAGATGCAAGGCTGCGGGATTTCAGTTTCCTGGGCAGGAGGAAAGCGAGGACGTGAGATCATCGATATCATGATGCCGGAGGTTGCCCGGGTATTGGCTCCAGAAGGCCTTTTTTATCTTGTTTGCATAGCTGAGAATGACCCTGCCGAGATTCTTGCTTTGGGGAGGTCTCTGGGGCTTGTGGCCGAAGTGGCACGGCGAGAGCAGCGAGGTATGGAGGAGCTCTTCATACTGCGATTCCACGCAGATGCGAAGTTCGGGCCGAACTCCGGAAACGCGGAGGAGATGTTATCGGCTCAAAGAGAAAAAAGGCGTCCTGTTGAGTATCGTTGGGTGTGTGAACTGAACATGCCCATCGCGGGAGACCTCGTCAGGTGCTTGATGTATTAGTTGGGAAATGGCATGACAATGAGGTACGCACCTCCTTAGAAAGTGCGGCAAACGAGGTACATGGAGCCTGAAACTTGCCATGCTCGGGTTGCAAGGGGGTGGGCAGTGGCGGAGCTGAGCTGGGTGGGACTCGAACCCAAAACTTTCAGAAGTCCGGATGGCTTGCTCACGAGGGGCGGACGGGTGGGGTAACCAGGTAAATCGCAGGTTAGAATCAAGGCCAACCTGGACTAGCAGCAGGCGCAGTGGGAGCCACGCCATCCACTTGCCAACAGCTCCCCGCCTACTTCTCAGGGTCGATTCTGGCATCACAAACTCTCTGCGTGGGCACATCGTGCTGCCAGCGACAGGAGCGAAGTGCTGGAACAGAGTGAGCGTTGACAGATGTTGACAAAGTTGACAACTACTTCGATGCGGTGACCGTCTCTGGCAAGGAGGTCTATCTCGGATCACGCAGGCCACGACCCGTGGTCGTTGCCGGACATGCCTCTCTCTTAGACTGTCGGGGCACACTGCTCCGGTCCTTCAACGCAGCTCACGGCTGCTGCAGCAACGTTTTGGTGCCAGGGTGATACACTGTGGAGCCGTGCTCGTGCCCAAAAGATGCGGCCATCGGGAACGGGCTCCAGACGTAGCTACTAGCGCTTTCAAACTGTGGTCATTGGGGCCTTGGGGCCGATGCCGTTTGATGCGTGACACCGTCGTCAGCAGTAAATTTGCGCCGTGGCTACGCACGTGTACAGGAGCCTCCTCTCGGAATGCTTCCCGAACTTTTGTGCCAAGGTGTCACGACACGGGATGAAGCACAAAACGTCCCCCCGTATTCCGATACGACGATGCAAGCCCGGAGCGCATCGATGAGGTTGGACGGAAAGTCTGCGTGAGCCTTTCAGCAGGGCGAAGAGCTCCAGGCTGCCAAGTAAGAGTTCAGGAGCTTTTGGATGGCTGGCAACTCCAGAAGAACGGGCACCTGCCCAGTGGGTAGGAGGCTGGCTGGGTCCTGGAGTGCCCAAAGCGTGCCGACATGGAGGCCCGCCCGGCGTGGTCACGAGTTCTTTCTCATGTGTGGCTAACCCGTCCTACACTGGCCGGTCTTCTACTGTGTGCACCGTGACGTCGAGAACGGCTCCAGCACTGGACGGCATCGTGACCACGTAGAGGTCGTCCAGGAAAGCAATGTCGTCGGGAGGGAGTGCTTCCGCAGTCTGTTGTAGGGCCGTGTGCTGTCCGAGAGGAGAGTGCCCGGCTTGGTCGCGTGCTGCGGCGTAGGCGGCCACATCTGGCGGGGCTCCTGCCGGGCACTAGCGAGGCTCCTGCCCATCACCGGGAGCTGCCAGCGCACGTCTGCGAGCCCTTCGTGCAGCTCGGGTGCCCTTTCCGGCGACGTTGCACTCCCCCGCGAGCGGGAGTTCCAACAAGGACGCGGCGATGGCACGCTGGCCGGCGTGCTCGCCCCGACCAACGGGCGACCCACGCCGCACGTGCTGCCGCTCGCGCGGCCGCCAGAACGTCCGACGCACGTTGCCCGGCGAGCAGCCGGAGCCAAGTGGCGCCAAACCGGCCCCCAACCTCAACACCGACGACCACCAAGCGGCAACGGCGAGCGCGCACGAGCTCGGGGTAGGTCTGGTGGCGTTTGCGTCGGGCGGCGCAGTCAACAGCCCGACCCACGTCAGCACCGGGCTGGGCGTCGCCTGCCCGCGTCACGGGGCTGATGGTGGCATGCCACAAGGACAGCCCGTTTGCGACGACTTCGATGCGGCGGTCATCCGAGACCGGGACGTCGATGTCAGCCAGGCGAACGTTGCGGGCGACCCTCGCCCCGGCTTCATGTCAAACCGCGCCACTGCCCGCTCGAGAGGGAGAGCTCGAGATGCGACCACGGCAGGCGCACGTGCGCGGTGCGACTGGCAGCGGCAAGCGAAGCCGTCGTAGCAGCAAAACGCGGAAGAGTGGTGATGGCACCGTCAACTCAGCTGAGGTAGGGAAAACTGTGAAGGCGCGCGCAGCGTGTGGCCCGGCTTGCGACAGCAGTCGTGCAGGTTGCCGACGCCCTGCGCAGCACCAAGCGCGGGTCGGCCGCGGGTCTGTCCGGAGCCACCGTTGAGCTTTACAAGCTTCTCCTGCACGACGCTGCAGCGAGTCGTTGACGTTCGCCGTGAACATCCTTGCTCGTGCCCAGGCCCCGCCAATCGCATCCAATCGCACCGGATGCGATCGCCTTGTCCCGCCTAACGGCTCTGCGCAAGCCCGGCGGCGGCGTGCGAGGAATAGCTACCGGGGACGTGTTTCGGCGGCTCGTTGCCCGTGCTCTCGCACGTGCCTATGCTGCAGATTTTGACGAGGCCACCCGCCCGTTCCAGTTCGCGCCGCAGACGCGCGCTGGCACAGACAGCCTGGCGGCGATGCTTCGCGCGGCTGTTGAGCTAGACCCCGAGACCACGGTCGTCTCTCTCGATGGGCGCAGCGCGTATGACACTATCAGCCGCGACGCTATCCTACGCAAGCTCCGCGACACCGTGCCGGCCTTGCTGCCCTTCGTCCGCGCCATGCACGCTCGCACTTCCACGTACTTGTGGTGGGACGCGGAGAGCGGGCTGCATGAGATACCGCAGGCTGAGGGCATCGAGCAGGCGACCCGTTAGCGCCGGGCCTGTACGCGCTTGGCCAACACGACTCCCTGGTCGCGGCAAGCGGGTCGTTGCAGCCACGTGAGCGGCTTTTCGCATTTCTGGACGGCCTCTACTTCGTCACAACGTCGGCGCGGTCCGAGCATTTTCTCCAGGTCGTTCCCCAGGAGGTGCTGGCGTTGCTGCCAACGTTGGCAAGACGCGCGTATACAACACGGCCGGCGGGCCAGCTCCCCCGAGCATCCGCCCTGAGCGCCGACGTCTGGCGTGGCGACCTGCCGCCGGAACAGCGAGGGTTTGTCGCGCTCGGAGTCCCCATCGGCCATCCCGCGTTCGTCGCAGCTCAGGCAGAGTCCCGCCTTGTTGCCGAGGCGGACCTTTTGCAAGAGATTGCGCAGCTGCCTGACCTCCAGTGCGCATGGCTGCTGCTAGCGTATTGTGAAGGGTTATGGGCTCAGCACTTGCTCCGCAACGTCCCGCCGGAGGACGTGCGACCGTACGCGCAGGACCAGGACGCGGAAGTTTGGGAGGGAGTCGAGCGGCGGATGCTTGCCACCCACGCCAGTGTGCACTCGGGAGTCGCGTTGGGCCCGAGGCGCTCATCCACGAGGTGCAAGCCCGATGTGCAGCAGACCCCCACCTCACTGTTGTTTCCCTTGATGCCTCCGCAGCCTATGATGGCATCAGTCGAGAAGCGGTGTTGCGTGAGTTGCGGGACGTTCCCGAGGCGGCGGCGCTCTTGCCCTTCGTGCGCCTCTGGTTGGATCGCACTTCCACCTATGTTTGGCAACA